ATGCAAAAATCCTGATTTTCGTAATAGAATCTATAGTCTTTTTGCCCTGTTGTACCGCCATCTTGGATTTATCATGTAGGCCCCGCCTGCGCTAGGTATGCGTTAGCAATCTAGATCTCCTATATCTATGGCTAGGACCTTGGCGTCAGCATTTTGTGTACTCAAACGTCAGCATTTTGTGTGCACCACCACATTTTGTGTGCTTTTTAGGCCGAGTCGACCTTCTGTGTGCCTGCGCCACCGTACTCAAATTCGTCCGGTTCTACATGTTCACACGGAACAGGAATAATTACGAGACAATAAGTGTTCACACCGAACGAATTGTGGCTCCGAAAGTGTTTACGTTCTCGTGCGGAAATGGTCTCAATCAGTCTCAATCCCAATTCTTTACCGTGCAAAATGGTCTTAAAAAGGACAGGTTCCGCTGTTCACATGGCGCCGTCTTGTTTAGGAGCCATTCCAGTGCAAAACGAAACCTAATTGTATTTGGTCTCCAATTCTGCGGTTAGCTGTGCTGGAATTCGTCCGCCTTCATGCGTCTCGTGTGAACGCAAGACGAAACCCAACGAATTTGAGTACGGTAACGAATTCATCCGGTGTGAACGGGGCCATAGAGATCAGTCTTTGTCCATCGCTAACTAGATATTAGCGCGGGCTTTTTTCAAGCCAGACCAATCTTTACATCTATCTGTAGTTAAAATTTTCAGTATGAATAGATAAAAGCGTCCTAAGTGACCTAAGTGAGTTCAGCATTTTGAACAGTTTAAATTTTTTTCCGATTCCCGAAAACTATATGTTTTTTCGTTCATTTTGAGAGGAAATAATATTAAACAATTATTGACGAGGTCGAGTAGGATAAGAGGAATTATTATACATTGTAGTTGGTAAAAGCAATTTGATTGGCTAAGAGCTTACAGTTAAATCGCGCAATCACGCAAACTACACAAAATTCAGTTATCTGCTAGCAAATAACTGAATTTTGTGTAGTTTGCGTGAAATTGAATGAGTGTACATTTCAAATGAGTGTACATTTCAATTTTCAAATGAATGTACATTTCATAATTGTAATGTTTACTTTAACAAGTAAATATTTTAATACGTTAACATCTTAACGATAATATGTTTCTTTTATATTTGTAATTAATTTAACTGTTGGACTTCCGGAGACTTGTTTATAGAAACGTTTTACTTGAACAGCTTTGCCAGAAATCATATTGAATATAACGCTTACCGAGACCTTGATAATTTTGCATAGCGCAAAAACCGAATTCAATAATTGTTTTATTATACATTTGAAGAATAATTATTCTTCAAATGTATAATAAAACAATTATTGAATTCGGTTTTTGTGATATGCAAAATTATCAAGGTCTCGGTAAGCGTTATCAGCCTCGCATAACGCTTACCTCGACCTTGATAATTCCGCATATCACAAAAACCTCATCCAATAATTGTTAATTATTAAGACCGAGGTTTGTGTTATTTTCCGAAGCCTGAGGCAGATAACATAAACCGAGGTCTTAATAATTCCTCATATCCTGCGAAAACCGAATTCAATAATTGTTTTATTATTTATTTGTCGGAATACACAAAAAAAGTCCGCGACTCTTTCCTTTTAGGAAGCCATTTGTATTTTCCAGCTTTTGCCCTAAGCCGCATAAATAAGCGTGACGTCATAGCGTATTGCATTGTTTTTTAAAAATATCACGAAATTACGTAAAACGCGGTAATATTCGTTTTCAATATCCCATGGTGATGTCATAACTCCAAATTTGGGCAGCTACCGAGCGAATTTGACGATTTCACCAAGGGCTCCTGGCCAATCAAAACTCGAATTATTTTCAATCGATTATGATAGTAATTATTCACATCCGCACAGCGAGTTTCGATTGCGAATTATTGAGGTCGAGGGATAATGAGGTCGTGCACTAACCTCATGTGAAACAGAAGATGTTCATTTTATGCAAGTGAATTGTTTCTTCACTGTGGGCCAAGAAGATGCAAAACATCAAATAAATATCCAATTTTCCGTGACGTATTATGGGCATTTAAAACCTTCCAATAAAATAAAAACAATAAATATTTTATCTGCACAGTATGTTAAACAAATTGTAAGTTTGCTTACAGTTGCTTCTTGGCATTTTCTTGCTGGCTGGAAACTGAACTAAATCCTACTCATCATTTCTCGAGTATCATGATTTTCGACTCCATTCAAAGCAAACTATTCTGGACGGTGTTGCTATACGACTTCTCCGTAATCCTGGGTGTAGCTTTTAGGAGAGAAGCAAATGGACACGCTCAAATATTTTTTCAAATCAAACAAGGTGCGTAGAAAATATCATTCAACAATCTGTCTAATTTTGGAACTTAAATATTGAAGTTTGGTGCAGAACCCAAAACCGAACCACCTTAACGTAAATAAAACAGGCACGTTTAGACCAAATTTTTTATTTGTTAATGTTGCTTGCCCTCACGATAAGTAATTTGCAGTATCCAAATTGAGTCAACTATAACTTACTAAAAAGTACTTTCTGGATATCGCGAATGGGCATCCAGCGCCCATGCAAGGTTTTAATATTTTAGCCGTTGCACACATTCAAAATATCAGCAAGTGAATGGACTTAATGCACGACAAGTTTAATAGATAAGATCGTATGTTGTGCGTTTTTTCATCATCACTGACATTATTTTTTTCAGGCGTTCGATCACAGCGAGAAGCATTCATCAGTTTAAGAGCGAAGACATCAATCCATTGCGCGGTATTTTGTATGGACGAAAAAACCTGCAAATCTTTAAACTATGCTGAATATACCTCTATCAAAGATGGTCAGGAGAATTGTGAATTACACAATGAAACCAAGAATGATGACGGAAATCCATTAGAACTCCTGAAAGATGATAGATACACCTTCTATCAGATACCTGGAGCATCACACAAACCAGAAAAGAAACAGAAGATAGAAAATGCAACTGAACAGGTATATATCTATCTTCCTTTATCACTGGAAAAAATAGTGACATCCATATACTATGAATTAAGGTTTGCATCCCTAAATCCATAATATTTCCATACTACATCCATAGCAGGGCCTTTTTTAACATACAAGCTGGGGGGGGCATTTGCCCCCCCAGTCCCCCCTTGTGCCCCCCCCCCACGAAATCACATTTTGCCCCCCCAGAAAAAGTCCCTTTTTCCTAAAATTATACAAACAATCCAGCGAAGATTAACAAATAGATAAACGGAAAGTAAGTTTTAGGCTTTATCCTTTGTTCTTGTTTAACAAAATCGATTTAAATTGTTACTTTTTTTACCACTAAGCCATGATAAATTATTGTTAATATTTATTTTTATTTTTTGGATGCTCAGAATTCAGAAAATAGCCGTTCGCGGTTTCAAATTTCAAAAATTTTCTTGGGATTATCCTAATAAATAATGATAAATTACAGTTAATATTCTTTTTTACTTTTTGTGCATTTTTCCATCTTTTATTTCAAATACAACTACAGTTAGCATAAGTTTTAGAGCAAATTTGGATGCTCAGAATGCAGGAAATGGCATTTCCGTGGTTCAAATTTCAAAAATTTTCACCTCTACACACCTGACCATCGCTATCCTCCTCTAATAAGTAATATGATAAATGATGGTTATTTTTTTTTAACTTTTTGTGTGTTTCTACCTTTATTTATTTCAAATACAAGTATAGTTAGGATAAATTTTGGAGCAAATTTGGATGCTCAGACTGCAGGAAATGACATTTCCGGGAGTCAAATTTCAAAAATTTTCTGGGTGAGTACACCCCCAGACCCCCCATTCATGCGTGGTATATTTGCCACACACGTGGCTTTCAGCCATTGCTACCCCCCTCTAAAATATTATCTCACAGAAAGGTCCCTTTTCAAAAAATGCCCCCCCACGGGAAAATCCTTAAAAAAGGCCCTGCTGTTGCGAGTTTTATAAGTGTCTGAACTTCAAAAGGCACCCTTAATTAAATTCTCACTGCGAGCTATATATGGGTGTCTGAATTTCAGACACGCTTGTATATATTATATTCTAGATTTATTGACGTGCTATATGGGTGTCTGAATTTTAGACACCCAATTATATTCTGTTTGAATTTAAGACACGCTTGTATATGTTCTAGATCTATTGCGACCTAGATGGGTGTCCGAATTGTAGACACTCTTATATATTCTATTGCGAGCTATGTGGGTGTCTGAACTTCAGACACCCTTATATTCTATTTCGAGCAGTATGGATGTCTGAATTTCAAACACCCTTATATTGCGAGGTACTGTATATGCATAGTGTCTGAATTTCAGACCCACTAGACCTATAACTATATCTTACATGGTGGGTTATTCCATTCAATACAATACCTGTATATTGCGTAAATGTAAATCCTGCAGGGTAGCCATAACTTCTAAAATTACTAGAATTACTTCCTGAGACAATAACACCAAACTTCACATCATTAGAGGAAGCAATATCAGTTACCCTCGTGATATCATACGTTGCCCATACATACTTCGTTCCATTGACCTTTTGCCAATTAAACTGAGCACTACTCTGTTCATCCACCGTCAAGGCGCCTTTGTATTGCTCTTCAATAATTATTATGATGTGATGGGCAAAGTAAGATTTGGCCATTGGCACAACTTTGTAGCTCGTGCCAAACTGCTCAGTTGATGGTAAAACAATGCTGGATGGGTCATAAGGTCTGACATATTGCACCACTTGGCAGGGTTTGCTGCATAAAACAAAGGACGATAGTTCGTCATGACAGGGACCAACTTCTAGAAAATCACCACGATTAATCACTCTCATCACATTTCTGCTTCTCACCAGGGTTTTTTGAGAGGCAAACACACGATAAAAATCTCCGCAAGTCTTCGATTTCATAGCAGGAACCAAAATGTATTCTTTCCCCCATTTCTCAATGGGTAGGAGAAAAGAGACTAAATGGTCGCAGGCACCACTGTTTCCAACGTTTTCACATGGGCTACCAGATAATACAGCAACAGGGTAATTTGAATTGATAATTGTTCCGGACAAGTCATAGTCGTGGGTGAGGTGAAATGTTTCCAGTTTGTTAAGAGTGACGGTGAATGTCTCTCCCACACCATACGTTGAATTGAGGTAACTAACCCTTCCATTTGTCTTTAATGTAATGCTGACTTTCGTTCCATCCCGCTGCGAAATCACTCCAAAGTTTGCTGAATTCAGAGAAAGGCCAGAACCTAAATTCACTCTAGTAGAGGCAACGTATGTTTTACCAAGTTCACTTGTAGGCAAAGCAAGAAACGCATCTGAAGTACCATGTACATGACTTATTCCAATAACTGCAATATTGGCAGTTGATTGTATTTGCACACCTTTGTTTTCCACGCCTGTTCCTTGCATTCTGAATGAAGATGACACTTTAAAATTGAACACCATTCCAGCTTTAAGGGAAATCGATTGAAGTGGATTCTTAGACATGAGCGATGTAATTGTAATGCTTGCGTCACTTTGAGCAGTGATGCTTATTTCATTGAACCCTCGCCGATTGTCAACTAAATACTGCTGCGTAAATCCAAGTACGAAATGTGCTCCGTAATTAGACTCACCCACTGCTAAAAGAAATTGTTTTAGAATTTAAGTGAATTTTTTAAAAAAAGGAAATTATATAGCGATCTTAATTATAAGTGAAAATTTTAGGACTAAAAATGATAGAGTACGTATTTCATAATGTATAACGTCTTATTAAATTGTTATCACTTAATTGGCTGATTACGATCACGTGCTATTGGTAAAAAATACTATTTTCTTCATCACCGAATGGAACATAGAGATTATAAATAACACTTGAGGGGGGCATCGAGGGTGAAATTTCAAAGCGCGGTAATAGGGAAAATTGAAATCCCGGATGAACGCCACACATTTCTTGGGTTACACTTGAAACCAGAAGCATTTAAAACAACAGGCACAAAACTGTTTTATATGTTTTGCATGTCATTACTGCAAACATTCTCCCCAAAATTTTGAATTAAAACGTTTAATTCCTCATGAAAAGATCAAAATTACCGGCTTCAACATTATTTTTGAGCGTTCTCAAAATTGTGTTATAGACAAAATTGAGGTAAAAATGCTTGATAAAAACCAAAACGGGACTACTTAACTGCCATAAACAAGAATTTAGAGATTTTGGCTCAAACTCGCTCCTCAGTTTAGCATTTTAATTTTTTGCCCTCCAATAGCCGCGTTCCCTTTCTTTGACTGAAATAAGATTACGATGCCCCCTCTAGTGTTATTTATAATCTCTATGGAATGGAACGCATTGAATGACACGGTACCGCCGGGCAAATATGTTTGTACTATACGATTTTGTACCATACAAATTATTATTTTTCTCGTGCAATTAGAAGGCACGTTGTAAAAGACGAGCTGGACTGGACTAGTCTGGACTGGACTCTGAAAACGCGGACAGAGTCCGTGCTTTACAAATCGCGGACTGAATTTGTAAAACACGGACTGGACGGGACTGGACTGGACTGGGAAAACGCGGACTGAGTCCGTGTTTTACAAATCGCGGACTGAGATTATTTTGTAAAACGCAGACTGAGGCCGTGTTTTACAAATCGCGGACTGCGATTTGTAAAAGGCTCACTCATTCAATACCGCCACTTCCAATTATGACAAAGTTCAATGTTTTTACCGAGAAAGTTCAATGTTTGCGATGATCATGAATGATCATTTGTTGGTTTCAAAGCTTGGTTCTGGTTGAACGTGATTGGCTGATCAGATCAAAACCTGTCAAGTGCTCTTGACAAACATGGAAGATTCTCACGCGAATAGGCAATGTTTTTATGAGCTACCGTTAATCCTGCAAGCGACAGTCCAGTACTGACTCAGGCGAGAGAGTTTTGGCGGGAATTGCACTCATTCGTGAGAGTTTTGGCGGCCAAAGGAATAATCATATCATGGAGCTAAGGTTGGTACAAATTACAAATTGAGGAGAGGGGGTCATGTAAAATTCATCTTGTCCTATGGGGTTGTGAGTGTGGGGGTACTTGCTTTCTTCGGAATCTTGGGGGGGGGGGGTTACACAAAGACTGAAAATATTGTAGCACCTGTCTACATATAGAACATTTTAGATTTAGATATTAAATAAATTTCTTCCTGAAAGGGTTTTTCAGAAATTAGTTACAAATATTTATGACCATGCACAAAATTTAGTAAGTTATTAAACGTTTTCTTTGGCAAGCAAATGTTTTTTAAGTCAGCTATCTTGAAGATTT